GCTCAAGCCCCTCTTATCTGACCATTGCCTTGGTAGTGGCTCTTCCTTCTGTCCTTCAAGGCCATTCCCTATGTCTTCTACATCCACCCACTCTGAAGAAATTATTCCTGGACCCACAGGATCTTGCTAAATAACTCCCAGTCACAAATACCTCCTTCTGGGACAAGATACTTGAGATATGGTGCCTATATAGCTGCAGAGGTTTTCAAAGGGCACATATTATCTTGATACTTTTCAGTCTGGGTTTGCAACAGAACCAGCCATGGTTGCTCTGACAGATGGCCTTCTGTGGGAAAGTGACAGAGACTCTTCTTGATCATGCTTGATCTCTCAGGGGCTCAATAGCTTTCAGTTCCATTGATCATGGTGTTTTCCTAGTCCAACTATGTGAGTTGGGGGTTGGGAACTCAGAGAACTTGGTACGGTGGTTCTGCCCCTATTTGCAAGGATGCTCATTCTGTAGAATTGAGTGTTTGTATCACTGTTCCCTGACAATCATATTGTATGCCCCCACATGGCACTATTTTGTCCCCAATGTTATTTACTTCAATATGAAACTGAGTGAGTGGTCATTAGGAGTCTGGGAGCTGGTTGTCACCAATATGCAGATGAGATTTAGCTTTTTCATAGCATCTGAATGCGGAGAGGCTATGCATGTCCTGAACTGGTGGCTGGATGCAGTGAAGGATTGGATGATGGCCAGTTAACTAAAACTGAATCCCAATAAGATAATGTCCTTGGGATGGTGATTTTCTGGGTTTGGGAACTGGAAAATTTATCTCTTTAAAATATACACTGTTATGTATTTTACTGCTATTTTTATTGTAAAGCACTGAGATGCTGGAAGTAGTATATGTTATATGTTATATAAATTTAAAAAAAGATTTTGGGGTACAGTATCCTTTAGTTTTTGTTTGTTAGCTGCTTTAAACTTTGAAAGTGTAGGAAAGAAGTATTTTAGAGAAATACTTCCAGTATCCTCTCAAGGAGACAGCTGATCTAATACAGTGGCTAGGCTGAGATTTGGACAATCTCTCTGAATATCCTTGAGCACCACCATCTCTAGTTTTGTATCTACACTGTGCTGTAGTAAGTGTCCTACAGTTCAAGTATATCTTTACATAGAAAATGGGATGCTTTCAAAAATGATACAAAAACATACCAAGATCTAATTGTAACTTTTAATCTTTATTTTGTGAAAATTCTACAAAGGGTAAAATTAAAAACATTAACAGCTGTTACATTAAGTATAATTATTACAACACTAATGAGGTTAATTATATATCTGGCTAAAACAATCTTTATAACTCATAAAAATTAAGGCTGTAACTCTAAACTTTCTTATTAGGAAGAAAGCTTCAACTGCATAAAATAGGGTTTTCTTCAGAATAAGCATGGATAAAATATCCCATATTAGATAAAGCGAATAACTTTATAACAGTAAGCATTCAGAGTGCTAATGGGGAAAGTAGGAGGCATGATATACAAGAAGCTCACCTCTTGGCATTTAACAATGCAGTACATTGTTTTTCCTATTGTTTTCTCCTCTATGACTTATTTATTCCATTTATCTGGATGAAATGCCTCTTAAATATTAACTGGTTCAGTGAAAGAGTAATTGTAGTAGGAGGCAGCTCTTATAATTGATTCAAGTGATTTCACTGAATTGATTTCAGTGGGCAAGACAGATATTCTTCAGTTAATGATTGAATAGCATATTGACAGCATATCATGCCAAGTTTTCACTTTTTGTTTGTTTTGCTTTGCTTCCTTTTTTTGGCAATTTGAACTCTTAAGAAATATCAAAATTGTGGCAAAACAATGGTATAGAAAATTGAAATTGACACAACATACTTTTTTTAAAAAAAATTCAGAACAAGGCATATAAAGGTTTATTATGAAGAAAAAACCTTTTTTTTTTTTTTACTATAAAATGAGAATTCCCTTAAATACAAGTCAGTTAAGTTTCTACCAGTGCTGATTACAGGTAGTCCCCAGTTTAAGAATGAGTTCTGTTCCCAAGATCTGTCCTTAAGCTGAATTGTATCTAAGCCAGAACAGTATTATTGTATAATACTATATAAGTAGTATTGTGTAATTCACTCGAACCATTGTGTATTTAACTCAAATCATTATGTATTTAATTCAAATTTTGCTACAATAGGCTCTGTTCTTAACTATGGGTCGTCCATAAAGCGGGTGTTCTTAACCTGGGGGCTGCCTGTATAGCAAACTGCTTTAAAGGCTATAAAATAAGATTTAGGATAGGGGGAGTGAAATGCAGTTTCTTTCCTTGAGACCAGAAGTTTGTCCATTTTCAGCTTTTTAGCAGACCTTCCAGCTGCCTGCTCAGGAATAGAGCAATATTGTTTCTTCTTGTATGCCATCAGTTCCCTCATCTCAAGAGTGTTTATGACTCAAGAAAACCTTTGTTACCATGTTCTTTTCCTAGTACCTATCAGTAAGATTTAGATTGCAATTTTATGCATGATTATGCATTGAACACCATCTTGTAGTTATCTATAATGATTATAGCCTCAATAGAGGAAATCAGAGTACAGTATTCAAATCAAGAGTTTGAATGTTAGCTCCTGTCTTGGGGGCCAAATATTTTAGTTTTTCATAGGTGTTTGCTTTGGTATGAACATTGGTGATAGATCATTAGCTTCCCTAGCGCATTATTGGCAGTTACTGCTTTCCAACTAGCATCTTCTAGATTTGATGGTGCTGGCAATAAATCGAAAAGCAAGGGAATGTGAGAAATTTAGGATGGCAGATCCCTGGCTTCACCCTCTTCAAGATCTTTCCCGGACTGGAATGTTGAAATGTGTTCCCCAACCTTTGGTTGCAGTAAAGTGAAGCTGAGGGACAGCTAGCTTCATGTAATCATAGCTCAAATTTCCATGGTATTACTAGTTACACAAGTGACAATGGTATGTCCTACACTAGCCTTTTACAACGTGGCTCACCCTAGATGTGTTTTCCAACAACTCCTATAATTCTCAGTCAGTACAGCCAATGCTAGCTGGGTATGATAGGAAGTGTATCAGATCTTATCATTGCTTGTAGACATATTTGACAGGAGGGAAAATTTACCCTCCTTGTAGTTCATCAGATACAGACAGTTGTCTGCCATCCATTGGTCAGAGAAGATGGTCAGAGAACATAGATATATTGAATTATGGCATTTCTTGAGGTGTACACAGCCTTATCCAACACATTTTCTCTAATTTCTCTTCCTCAGTATTTATAATGTAGATGTGACATGTAGATTTATTTGAAAACTAGACACATCGATTTTCAATAATTTACTCTCAAATCAGTACGCATGTGATTGCAGCTAGAAATTCAACTTGTCATTGACATAAAAATATGGTAATGATGAAACTTTAACTTTGTTTTAAAAAACTTGGGCCTGGTGGGGGGAAGGGAGAAAAGGCAGGTAAAATATTTTACATCATACATTTTACTTTTTCAAAAAAATCTGAAATCGTTTATATTGTGGAAGAAGTTATCCTGAGAAATAATAATAAATAAGAAGTAAATGTCCAAAAAATACGTAGCATTATGTATTGCTAAGGTTAACATTTCCATTCCCTCATAACCTTTAAATTACATGTGCTGAACAAACAAATAAACACTGTTGTGCAAAAAATGAATGAAAGGTAGCTGGCCAAAAAATGCCAACCACTTGTGCCGTTGAAAGCCAGCCCCTTCCCTATCTTCCCGATTTGTTCTGAGCGGCCTAGGAAATGGAAATAGAGAATCTTCTATTTTTTAATGCCCCCGTCTCGTTATATTAGCCAGGGAACGAGAATGTCAGCGGGCGGCGGGGGGGGGGCGGCAACTCAGAACAATAGAGGCAACCAGGCTTTCCAGACCTTTCCACGGTTGGTATCGCCCAACCCCCTTATCCCGGGATGGTACATCCCAACAGATGCAGGCGTTTCCTTAGAACTTAGACTCGCTCGCTCTTCGCCTTCCCCCTCAGGTCTCTCACCTCTGATCCCGCCCCCGCTTCGCTGCGTTCGCCTCCCTCGGGGGCCAGAGAAAGAAGTCGGGCTCGCGCTAGGTCGGACAGGGCTCTTTGTGCGGGGAAGTGAAGCGCGTGCTCGCCCGCCCGCGCGGCCTGAAGGAAGGGGAGGGAAAGGGGGAAGAAGAAGAAGAAGAAGAGAGAGAGAGAGATT